ATTTGATAACAAATGGAGTTTAACTTTCACATAGCGATTATCACAACCTTTAATCAAAAGGTCAAGACATATTGTTCTTTGGAGTTCATTGTTGTTGTTTTTTGAGACTAGGTCTCACTCTGTTGCCCAGGCTGGAGTGCAGTGGCACAATCTAAATCACTGCAACCTCTACCTCCAAGATTCAAGTGATTCTTCTGCCTCAGCTTCCCAAGTAGCTGGGGTTACAGGCATGTGCCAACATGCCTGGCTAATTTTTGTATTTTTAGTAGAGACAGGGTCTCATCATGTTGGCCAGGTTGGTCTCGAACTCATGGGCTCAAGTGATCCACCTGCCTCGGCCTCTGGAAATGCTGGGATTATAGGCATGAGCCCAGCGCAAAAAAAAAAAAAAATTATTCAGAAATCTTGGCGCATATAGCCTTATCCTAATTTAGGATTACGTCTCTGAAATTGATTCCCATAAGAGGAGTCTCTGAGTCAAAAGGCCTCGACATTATTTAAGCCTTTGATGCATACTGCCAAATTGCTTTCTAAAAGATCTTTAGCAAATCATTTTTCCACCAGAACATGGGACTACTCCTTCCTCACATCAACATGAGCCTTCAGTGTTACCAGCTTTTCAAACTTCAAATTTGAAAGGCTACAAATTATCTTTTACTTTGTATTTTTTTTTATTACTAGTGAGATACAAAATGTCCTGTGTTTATTGTGTTTTATCTACATCCTTTGACTGTTTATTGGGTTCTTACTGTTTGTTTTCAGTTCTGTGTGCTATTTATATAATAAAAATATTAAGCTCATTATCTATAAAATATTTCCCTAGTCTGAAGTTTGCCTTTCATTGCTGGCTACCATTTCAGAGTAGGGTAGGGTAGGGTTTTCACTTTTTGAAAAAAAAGTAACACAAAGTAACAAAAGCTAAAGTTTCTTTTTCTTTTTCTTTTTCTTTTCTTTTTTTTTTTTTTTGAGACAGAGTCTGGCTCTGTCGCCCAGTCTGGAATGCAGTGCTGCGAACTCTGCTCACTGCAGCCCCTGCCTCCTGGATATAAGCTATTCTCCTGTTTCAGCCTTCCCAGTAGCTGGAACTACAGGCATACACCACCACACCCGGCTAATTTTTGTATTTTTAGTAGAAACGGGGTTTTGCTACGTTGTCCAGGCTGATCTAGAACTCCTGACCTCAGGCGATTCACCTGCCTCGTCTCGGCCACCCAAAGTGCTGGGATTCAGGCCTCAGCTACTGCACCCAGCCAAAGAATTTTTTAAAATAAACCTGTCTGGTTGGACGGGGTGGCTCGCCCCTGTAATTCCAGCACTTTGGGAGGCCGAGGTGGGCAAATTGCCTGAGCTCAAGAGTTTGCTACCACCCTGGGCAACATGGAGAAACCCCGTCTCTATCAAAATACAAAAGATTAGCCGGGAGTGCCTGTAATTCCAGCTACTCAGGAGGCTGAGGCAGAAGAATCGCTTGAACCCCAGAGGCAGAAACTGCAGTGAGCAGAGATCGCACCACTGCACTCCAGCCTGGGTGACAGAGTGAGACTCCGTCTCAAAAAATAAATAAATAGGCTTAGGGTAGTGGCTCACACCTGTAATCCCAGCTCTTTGGGAGACTGAGGCAGGCAGATCATGAGGTCAAGGGATTGAGATCATCCTGGCCAACATGATGAAAACCCGTCTCTGCTAAAAATACAAAAATTAGTGGGGCGTGGTAGCACATGCCTGTAATCCCAGCTACTTGGGAGGCTGAGGCAGGAGAAACGCTTGAACCCGGGAGGTGGAGGTTGCAGTGAGCTGAGATCAGGCCACTGCACTCCAGCCTGGCAACAGAGTGAGACTCTATCTCAAAAAATAAATAAATAAAATAAACCTATTTCCTTGTGATTTCTTCCATTTTCTCTAATCTTAGTTAAATACTCACTCTTTCAACAGCTTCTTTTCTGTCAGGTTCAAGAACTGATGAGGGTCAGGCACACTGGCTCACACCTATAATCCCAGCACTCCAGGAGGCCGAAGCAGGAGGGTCACCTGAGTCCAGAGTTCCAGAGGAGTCTGGGCAACAGAGGGAGACTCAATCTCTACAATAAATTAAAAAATAAAAAAAAAAATTAGCCAGGCATGGTAGTGCACATCTGTAGCCCCAGCTACTCAGGAGGCTGAGGTGGGACAATCATTCGAGTCTGGAAACTCAAGGCTGCAGTGAGACGAGATGGTGCCACTGCACTGCAGCCTGGGTGACAGAACTGATGGAGATGTTTGCGCTGTTTTGTCATATATTAAACAAAAAAGAAAGATTATCCCTGTTTTCCCTGTGAACATTTGACTTTCCTTGACTCACCTTTTTTTTTTTTGAGATGAAGTCTCCCTGTGTCACCCAGGCAAAAGTACAATGGCACAATCTTTTCTCGCTGCAACTTCCGTCTCCCAGGTTCAAGTGATTCTCCTGCCTCAGTCCCCTGAGTAGCTGGGACTACAGGTGCACGCCACCGTGCCCAGCTAGTTTTTGTATTTTCAGTAGAGATGGGGCTTCACCATGTTGTCCAGGCTGGTCTCAAACTCCTAACCTCATATCATCTGCCTGCCTAGGCCTCCCAAAGTGCTGGGATTACAGGCATGAGCCACTGTGCCAGGCCTTTGACTCACTTTTTGATTAGTACCTTGAAATGTGCTCATTGGGACTGGGGGCTGCAGAAGGATGTATATGTACATGCATCCAAAAACATCTGGAAGAATTGTACTAAAAATGTGAACACTGGCTATCTCTGGTTGGTGGGAGCCTGGCTGAGAGGGATGTGTTAATCTTGTCTCCCTGGCACCCCTAATTCCTTTGGACAAGATACCTCTTCCATTCCTCATGGCTGCCCATTACAGTACACTTGTTCAATATAGCACCCTAATTATCTTGGCAACAGTTCTGGAGGCCAAGGGGTGAACGTGTCACCATATCACTCAAGCAGAGCCAGAGTCCTTCCCTGAGTCTGAGATAGGAAATTGGGAGGATGCTTTCCTTCTACTGTGTTTAATTAGAAAGCTGGGACTGCTTCACTCCATGTTTCCTGCCAAGTAGAAGATCACTCTGCAGAGAAAAAGAGGCCAACATGTGAAGAGAAATCAAGACAAGGAGAGAGGAGAGAAGACAGAGAAAACAAATTCTAAGAGTACTACACCTCCAGTTCCAGTCTCCAAGCCTCGATCCCTGGTGTTTCTCCTGTAATCTTGTGCAGCTATTGTGAACTATAGATTCCTCTTGGATGAAGCTGGTTTAGATTGGGATTCTGTCATTTAGGAAGTGAAAAAAAATCTCATCAGATAGTCTGTGTGTGTTTTTAATATGTTATGCAATTTTCCTGCCATGACCATGTATCACTTGCTGAGTAGAAATACAAAGTAAAGATAATGTGTTTCTTAAAGAAAAGAAAGCATGAGCACACTCAGAAATGCTTAAAAGCAGGAAAAATATAGAGCACACTGTAGAAGTTGTACAAGTTGGCTGGGCATGGTGGCTCATGCCTGTAATCTCAGCACTTTGGAAGGCTGAGGCAGGTGGATGACATGAGGTTGGGAGTTCGAGACCAGCCTGACCAATATGGTGAAGCCCCATCTCTACTAGAAATACAAAATTTAGTTGGGCGTGCTGGTTCACGCCTGTAGTCCCAGCTACTTGGGAAGCTGAGGCAGAAGAATCACTTGAATCCAGGAGGTGGAGGTTGCAGTGAGGTGAGTTGGCACCATTGCACTTCAGCCTGGGTAACAGAGTGAGACTCTGTTTCAAAAAAGGAGGAAGAGAAGAAGTTGTACAAGCCTCAGAAGGACAAAGGCCACCTTATCACTCAGGGAGTGTTGTCATCAAGATAAACAGGAATTTGTGGTAAAAGAACCCCCAGTTCAGTGGGCATGCTTGGCGGGTATAGCAGAGAGTCGGGGCTCAGCCCTGAGCAGGAGATTGATTTTTCCATAAACTAAGAAGTCTGAGATACTGAGATTTGGAAGAGGGATCCCTTAAACCCCCCCTTCCTGGCCAAATGAAGTTCTCTCTCCAGTTTACACTGAGTCTAGCTCTCATGTTTTGAATAGTGTTCTAGGCACTTCATATCATTATCTCATAGAATTCTCAGAACTCTGAGTCAATCGTCAATATTCCCATGTTCCCAAGTAAGAAATTGAGGTTCAGAGAGGCAAAGCGTGACCAGGATCAGTTAGACTGCAAAGCCTTTCCAGGAACCTCAGCTATCTTCCTCTCTCATCTGTAAGTTGGGCATAATAAATTGACCAGGTGCAGTGGCTCATGCCTGTAATTCCAGCACTTTGGGAAGTTGATTGGGGAGGATTGCTTGAGCCCAGGAGGTTGAGACCAGCCTGGCAATATAGTGAGACCCTCATCTCTACAAAAAATAAAAAAGTTAGCTAGGTGTGGTGACACGCACCTGTAGTCCCATCTACATGGGAGGCTGGGGTACAAGGATGACTTGAGCCCAGGAGCTTGAGGTTGCAGTGAGCAGTGATCATGCCACTGCACTGCAGCCTGGGTGACAGAGCAAGACCTTGTCTAAAAATAAAATAAAATAAAAATAAATGAGTTGGGGATAAGCACTGTTCTCTCCCCACCACCAGCTGGAAAATGCAGGAATTCAGGAGTAGGGAGTGGGTGGTGACCTCCACTTGGAGGTCACTGGAGATAGAGTGGGGTCCTAAACACCGTGCCTCCTCTGGCTGCCCCCAGTCCAGCCCCGTCCCCAATTCCTGCGAGTTGCTCCCTGAGCTCCCTCCTTCCACCCGGCACCAAATTTCTTCCCAAGGAAGGCCTTGCACAAGCCGACCTTTGGCCCCTTGCCTTCTGTCCTATTTGCGGGCTCTGTCCCCCACCTCCCCTAATCTGGCTCCCAGCCATCAAACCCTGGAGCCCAGCCAGTCACGTGATACCTCGGTCCTTTTTGGCCTGCTTCCTTCAGGATCCAGATTTAACTTCTCCCTCCCTAGGACCTCTGGGCACCACCACCCACTGTGAGGAGCAAGTGTCTGGGGCTGAAGCCTCAGCTCCGTCTTTCAGAGGGACCTGGGCCTCTGTTTTCCCACCTGCCAAATGGGGCCGCCACCCTATGGCCGCCTCAACTCTCTTCATTGCCTACTCTTTCCAGGTCCTTCCCCACTCCCCTGCTCCCCAACCCCCACCAGCCCCCCCTTCTCCCTGCAGCTCTGAGGGCCTGTTTCCCTTCAGGGCACAGGAGAGTTGGGGAGAGGGGAAGGGCGACAGAGCCCTAAGGGAGGTTTCAGAAGCGGTCTGAAAGAAAACTACCAGGCCACAAGACGAGTTTGGCCGGCCTCTAGCCTCAGACAGACGGGGTTGGAATCCTGCTTTGCTTCCGACCACCTGCTGATTTGAAAATCATCTCTCTGGGCCTCAGTTGTCCCCGCTGTGAAGTGGATCGCTGCTGAAGACCAAGGGCGGGAAGCGTCTAGCAGGAGATCTCTGACCAGAACCAGAAAGGTGGTCTCCACCCGCGCCCCTTCCCCAGCCCTGGAGCGGCGCCTCGCCTCCCAATCCCGGGTCCCTCCGCCGCAGACTCCTCCTCCACTGACATCAGAGCCGCAGGCGGGCGGAGGGAGCCGGCGGAGCGAGCTGGCGGAGCGGAGCCGAGCCGAGCCGAGCCTCAGCCCCAGCAAGAGAACGGGCGGGCGGCCCAGGCGCTCAACGGTGCGGACCGCGGCCGGAGCTCAGCGCCAGCCACTGCGGGTCTCCTAGCCAGCCCCGCGGCGGGGCAGCTGCAGGTACAGCCTAGCCCCCCACTCCTGCACCCCTGGGCGCTGCGGAGGGGCGGCGGGAGCCCTCAGTCTCTGGGTATCCTTTCCCAAGGAGTGGCCACTGGGCACTCTACCAGGCGGGCTGGACCCTGAGGGGCAGGGCTGGGCCTTTCTCCTCTCCCTCTGCCCCAGACCCAGCGAGTGCCAGGTGGGCCCATGGGACACTGAGTGGGTAATAGAGGAGGGGGCCTGAGTGAGCGCCTTCAGCTGGCCCGACAGTGGAAGGGCGTGGGGATTTGGAGGTATCCATGGGGTGGGGGTGGGAGGCTTGTGGAGTGTGCTAACGTCTTAGGACAGTCGTGTGGGTCAGACATGGGTGGGGGATCTGGGAATGCGCGTGTTTTTTGGTTAGAGCGGTATCCACGTGTTGTGTGTGCTGGTATTTGGCTCTAAGGGTCTCAAGTCAGAGTTAGAAGGGGGTGTAGAATTGTGTACCGAGGATATTTGGAGTTAGGTGTGTACGGAGTTGGGGTTTGGTTTGGAATACTGGAGCTTCCAGGGGATGGGGTAGAGGAGCTGGAGGGTGTAGGGCATGTCTGGTATATGAGGGTGTGTGTGTGTCTGGGTGTCATCTTGTGCAGGTGTGGGTGGATGTGTGTTTTGGGGTGGAAGAAGGAGCTCGGTGAGAGATGTCTGGGTAGACAGGCAGATGTTCGAGTGTAAGGCTGTCTGAAGCAGTGTGTGGTGTAGACACATGTGCTGATGTCTGGGAGCATATGTGTGGTCATGGGATCTGGATACAAGGTGTACGGGATCTAGGAGGCAGGTGTTTGAGTTTAGGGCTGTGGAGGGGGCTTGGTGTGGGTGTCTGCTACAGGGATGTTTGTGAATCTGTGAGGGTTGTACTTCCTAGGCCTCCAGGCCTGTCTCTACATCTTACGCTCAAGTCTCCTTTCCTAGAAGTTTCTGCCCCTGGGATGAGTGGCCAGGGTCCCCTGGGAACAAGGTCCTTTTCCAGGAGTTGAATCTCACACCAGAGGCTCTAGTCAGGACACCTGCTCCTCATTCTCCCTTAGAGGAAAAGAGAGAAGGAAAGTGCTCTCCCTGAGGTCACAAAGCATGCTGGGCTCTGTTTTGGCCTCATCCTCTTCGGATGGATCGAGAGGTTGTGTTCTCTGAATGGGGCCCATTCTGGCTTCATATTGGAAGGATCAGCCGAGGGCATTCCATGGCTTTTACCCTCAGCAAGCTTAGCTGGGGGCCCTAGGCCGGGTGTCATTTGGGCCTCTGGACCCAGCCTCTACCCAACTCCAACCTGAGTCTCCCCATTCTTCATCTGATAAATGGGAGAGAACTCCCACCCTCTCCTGCTGGATAAGACAGATCTCAGCAGGGGAAGGGCCAGGCTGGATAGGTTGAGATGGGGCCAGTACGGGACAGAGTGGGGAGGACCATTTCTCAGGCTCCCGGGACCCAAATGGGGAGTCAGGAGGGAGAGGTCTGGGGAGCTCCAGCTGTGGCTGTTGTTGCTGTGGTAACAGTGCAAAAAGAGCTATTTAAAAATGTGGCTGAGATATTGCTGGAAGCCCAGGCTGCTGGAAACCTGATTTCCAAGAGGTCAGGGGGTGGAAGGGGGGAGGAGGAGGGCGAGGAGACACCCCAGCAATCTCCAGGGTGGGGTGGAGACATCACTAGTTCTAGGGACAAGGGGATCCTCCAGGCTTCTACTAACTGCTCTGGGGGTTTAACTGTTGTACTGCCAGAGGTTGGGGTATCCCTGGGTGCATGGATTTGGAGAGGGGGAAAACTGGGAAGTGAACTAGAATAAATGAATGAATGAATGCATGACTTTGTTAAATAAAGAATTTTGCTGCCACCATGAAAGGTTTTTCTCTAGGCATGAGAATTTGCTGAATGTTGAATAAACAAATGAATGTTTGTTGAATTATTTTGTCAAGTGGATGAATATAGGATAAATAAATGCAGTTTGAATGACTGAATGGAGCCTGCAGCAAATTTCCAGACAGAAGACTGGGCACCACTGAATCTCCTCCTTCCATTCTCCTTGCAGGAGCCCTGGCTGTGGCCGGGGGGCAGTGGGCCATGCCGGGGGCAGTGGAAGGCCCCAGATGGAAGCAGGCAGAGGACATTACGGACATTTACAACTTCAGAGATGTTCTGGGCACGTGAGTCCAGGGCAGGGCAGGATTGGGTGCTGGATGTCTGGGGGAGGCTAAGTCTAGGGTGGTGCTTCCTCTGGTCAATTAATGCTTCCTGTTTCCCACAGCCTAGGCTCTGTGGCAGCACTGCCTAGGGTCTAAACTGTCCCCAGCTTTTCACTTCTGGATGACAATGTGTGGGACATGGGTTGCTCTTCCAATACCCTGGATCCTTGAAGAAAAAGAAGTTGGGAGAATGGAGGTGCCAGCCAGTCCATCTAACTTGCTGCCAAGAGCTGGGTGTTCTGGCCTGGGTTTGGGAACTGAGGCTGGGAATGGCTCTGTTCTTGGTGCTGGGAATGCAGAAATAACTCAAACCTGGTCTCTGCCCTTCAAGTTGATCCCAGACATGTGCAGGAGACAGACCCTCAGAAAATGACTACAGGGTGTGCGCTGTGCTCCAGTTAAGGTTGGGATTGAGGGCTTTGTGAAGCCCAGAGAGAGCTATGCCTTCTGCCTGAGGGAAAACTTCCTGGAGAATGGGGCACGGGAGCTGGGGAATGAAGGATGGGTAGGTATGCACTTGTCACAGAAGAAGAAGGGCATTACAGCCAGAAGGAATAGCATAAACAAAGGCCTATAGAGGCATGTTTCATGTGAAAAGAGGTAGAGAGTGGTGGAGCTTAAAATCAGAGACTCGCCGGGTGCAATGGCTCATGCCTGTAATCCCAGCACTTTGGGAGGCTGAGGTGGGTGGATCAAGAGGTCAGGAGATTGAAACCATCCTGGCTAACACGTTGAAACCCCGTCTCTACTAAGAATACAGAAAACTAGCCAGGCATGGTGATGTGTGCCTGTAGTCCCAGCTACTTAGGAGGCTGAGACAGGAGAATCACTTGAAGCTGGCAGGTGGAGGTTGCAGTGAGCCAAGATCGGGCCACTGCACTCCAGCCTGGGCGACAGAGCAAGACTCTATCTCAAAATAAGTAAATAAATAAATAAATAATAAAATAATATCAGAGGCTGGGGTGGGGGAGAGTGCAAAAAGAGGCTGGAGATGAAAGTGAGACAGTTTGTGTAGCATCTTGGAAGCCAGGCCAGGGAGGCTAGATATTGTCCCATAGGCCACAGGGAGACATTTAAGACTTTTTGGCAGGTGTGCAATTCAGGATAGTCACTCTGGCCACAGCTTGGAGGATAAATTGGAGAAGGACAGGACTGGAAAGCAGCGATGACTTTACTACAGTAACTACCCCTAAGGATTGAAATTTCACCATGAGAGATGCTTTTCTTTGACTTGACTTCTCATTCTCCCAGAGAAACAAACAGATGTGGAAAAAATACCCTAGAAAATCCAACTTAATCAGTTAACTCTAGTTAAATGAGTTTATTTGTTCCTTTTTAAGAGCTTGTTCTAAAGCACTGCTTTTTTTTTTTTTTTTTTTTTTTTTTTTTTTTTTTTTTTT